GTCAGCAGAAAACACATTTAACAAGTTGTTAACAGACTTCTCTGAAGTTGAAGTGAAGCTTCATTTAACCTCCTAGGACCTGCCGTCCACATATGTGGACATCACATTTTGGGTTATTTAGACCAAAATACTCAATTTTGCTCTACAAGGGCCTGATATCCATTTACGAGGACATTGGTAAATTGACTGATTCTTATATAGCGCTTTTCTACTCTCACGGAGTACTCAAAATGCTCTATACAACATGCCTCATTCACACCCATTGTCACAAGCACTTTATCTATACATAGTGCTTTCTAACGACATTCATACACAATCATACTCCGATGGATGCATCGGAGAGCAAGTGGGGGTTAGTATCTTGCCCAAGGATACTTGACATGCAGACTAGAGGAGGAGGAGCCAGGGATCAAACCACCAACCTTCCGATCAGTAGGTGACCAGCTCTACCTCCTGAGCTACAGCCACCCCAAATTACCCCCCATTATACTGTCAAATTTTTAAACGAATAGCCTTATATGTGGCTCTTATTCTTCTTAAAAACAAAAATAAGGTTACATTCATCGGGCCCCAATATGCCCAAATATCAAAGTGAAATTAAAAATGCATGTCGTGGAAGAGTTCGGGCCTTAGGAGGTTAAAGAAGGATTTCACACACTGATGTTTTCATGATGTCACCCTGCAGTTTAGTTTGGTGAACTTTGTGACTTTGCTCACAGTGAGGAGCTTCAATGCTAACATGTTAGTGTGTAGCTGTGAGTGTGCACAACTATTTCACTCAGCTGTTGTGTGTGTGTGGCTCATAATGGGTCATATGACAGGCTGATCATCATTTATTCAGGTTTTGAGTCATGCTTTTAAAAACAGTTTGAGTTTTTGTATCAACACATTAATGATTATTATTCTTGTGTTTCTTTGTTCGAAAAGACCTCCCACAACAACATGACTATGAAGAAGAGGAGGGTCTCAATGAGCAGCAGGTCTGTAACCAGGAGAGGAACTCCAATCTGGGCCAGGAGGACCCAGAGCCTCCACAGATTACAGAGGAACAGGAGGAACTCTGTAGCAGTCAGGAGGGAGAGCAGCTTGGACTGAAGAAGGAGGCTGAAAGCATTATCGTCTGGACTGATGAAGAGCAGCTCAGACTGCTGGAGACCATCTGTAAACCTGAGATAAAGTTACACAGAATAGGTATGTAAAACTGTGATGTTTTATTTATTTATTTTTTATTTATTTATTTTTGCCTGTCCCGTTTGGCTCTTTTGCCATCAGAATTATTGTCTAAAGGCAAAGAAAGATGCCCAACGGATTTACTTTACCAAATGGACCATCCCGGCCTTGCCATAATGGTCTATTGGATTCACCTTTTATTGTTTATTTTATTTCCTATTTTCACTTGCTAGATATGGGACAGACTTGGATGAGGAAAAGAAAGAGGGGAAAAAAACAGCGGAGAAGAGGGATGGGGATAAAGGGCAAAAAACAAAAACCAACAAAATAAGTGTGATGTTTTATTAAAAGTGAATATGACTCACAGGTGTCACAGTGGAACAGTGGTTAGTGCTGTTGGCTCACAGCAAGAAGGTCCTGAGTTTGACTCCACCATGTGGCCGGGCCTTTCTGTGTGGAGTTTGCATGTTCTCCCCTTGTTCACTCTCCAGAGACATGCAGACAGCTGGGTTAGGTTAGTTGGTTGCATTTATTTTCAGAGTCACAGGAAGAATTGAAGGTCCAAAAGTAAAAAGCAGCATGATTTAATCTCTTTGGCATAATTTTCTGTTTTCATTTACATAAACGCATTTCCACCATTAATTCATGCAAAAAGGTGAAAAATTAGTGCATAAGAATTCAGCAGAATGAAAGATGTGAAACATCTGAGTTTCAAATTTTCACCCACTGCTCAGACAAAATCTGCACAGAGACACAAAGTCAACAACACAAGTTTCATTTTGTTGTGTTATCAGTTTAAGTTTAAGAATTACATGTTTCCTCTGCAGCATGGAAATGGTGAGTTTTGAACAGTTTACAGGTCTGAGTAAGTATGAATAAATATTTCTATTCTGTTTTGGAAAATATGAATTCAGAGTTTCTAAACTGAAATTTATCAGACGAAGAGAGTTTTCATGGCATTTCAGGCACAGCCAAAACACTGTGTGAGAGAGTACTGCCCCAGCATGCCTTCTTATAACTATAGCCAATCCAGAAATCCACATTCATTTAACAAAAAACATTTAGTTATTTCTAGGGCTGCCATGATTAGTCTACCATCAAAATCGTCCACCACTAATTTAATAGTCAACGTGTCATTTGAAGTTTTGTAAGATTTAAGATTGTAATAACGGACTGAAACAGAAGATGGCAGCACTGCATGTACAAGAATGACAGCTGCCGTTATACCCCGAAGAAGAAGAAGAAGAAGAAGCAGTGTCCGGTATCATAGCTGTGTCCAAATTCAGGGCCTGCATCCTTCGGAGTCTGCATTTGTAGGCCGATTACGTTGCAGCAATGCAATGAAGGCTGTCCAAATTCGAAGATTCCTCCAAATGCGGCCGACAAATGTGTCCTTCATTTTCCCAGATTTGAAGGATGGGTTGGGTGTATCCTTCGTGGCCCAACCTATCCCAGGAATCATAGTGCGCCTCAGCCAATTTACGTTCCCGACAATGGTGGCAGCTACTTAGTTTTAATATTACTCTTATTACTCTTTCTGGGTCACAAAATTAGCTTTTAACATATTTTCAGGCAAAAATGTAGCTGTGTAAACTTCAGATATCTGCACGGTGTATCAAGATATCACCTATTTGCAAAAGTGCAAAAGACATTTTTCAAGACTTCTGTTACCCACCAGCTCGATAGCTAGCCAGGGGTTCAAGGCACAAGAAGAAAGAAGAACACTGAACTCACAGAGTTTTCAACCCCCCCTTTCATTACTCATGTTAAACATGATATATAAGTCACTCAGATACCTTGAAAGTGTTGTTTGTCTTTTTTCAGTGTTTTGTTCCTCAGTAAATCAGTTAGGCTGAGATTCAAGTTGTAATTCTTACACAGCTGAATAAATGTCAAGCAGAAAACTGATTAAACAGAAGTGTGAGATGGTTGAGAATTTACTCCAGTTATATTTTAGATAGCAAGGAGCAGATGGCCTTGTTTATTAAACTTCACTGAGACAATCTGCAGATTTCATTAAAATTGAATAAACTATCATCTTGTCTTTATTTTTAGTTAGCACATACCTTAAACACTTCAAGCTGTAAGCTAATGATTGTTAAATAAGAGCAGACACATGCTGGTGCAATAAGTTGTACATTTTACGTCCAATGGACGCATGAACTGATTAGTCAACTAATCGCAAAAGTAATCGGTGACTAGTCGACTATCAAAATAATCATTTGTGGCAGCCCTAATTACTTCATACATCATAGACATTCAGGTATGTGACGTTAGTTGAACTTTGAGCTTTACTAATAAGAGTGTCAGAACTAAACATTTGCATCAGTGCCTGAATACTCACAGAGTTTTCAAACCTCCTAATTTTTCACATTTTTACGTTTTAAATTTCAGTGGTATATGTGAGCAACATACTCAAGATGTAGAGATCTGCTAATGGTTTAGACCAGTAAATATTTTCTCAAATGTTTGTTTTGCTATCATTTTGTCCCCTTTGTGCCTTTAGATGTCCATCAGCAGCATGCTTTTAAAGAAGAGGATGTTCTTACAGACCAGCAGGTCTTTAACCAGGAGAGGAACTCCAGTCTGGACCAGGAGGATCCACAGCCTCCACAGATTAAAGAGGAACAGGAGGAACTATGCAGAAGTCAGGAGGGAGAGCAGCTTGGACTGAAGCAGGAGACTGATACTTTCAAGGTGACACCCGCTTATGAGAAAAGTGACCACAGTGAACCAGAACCAAAAAGTGAGCAGCTCCTTTCTCACAGCTCTCCTGAAGCAGAGAGCCAAGATTATGAAGAAAATGGGCATGTGGACTCAAGATCAACTAGAAATGCAGAGCTGAAGAACAGACGTCACAGTCAGAGAGTAGACAACACTCCTGTGTCAGTGAGTCAAAGTAGAACAGACACAAAGAACAAGTCTGTACAATGTGACGTGTGTGGAAAAACTTTACCTGATAAATACAAACTGATTGCACATCTAAGAGTTCACACAGGTAAGATTCTTGTAGCACCTGTGCGAAAAGATTTTCTGACTCCTCAACGTTAAAAAGCACAGGAGAATTCACACAGGTGAGAAACCTTATTCTTGTAGCACCTGTGGGAAAAGATTTGCTACCTCATCAACGTTGAAAACACACACAAGAGTTCACACAGGTGTGAAGCCATATTCTTGTAGCATGTGTGGGAAAGAATTTATTCAGAAGTCACATTTGGATTCTCATGTAAGAATTCACACAGGTGAGAAACCGTATTGTTGTGGCACATGTGGGAAAAGATTTGCTGACTCATCAGGATTCAAAACACACACGAGAATTCACACAGGTGAGAAGCCGTTTATTGCTTTATATCCTATATTGGGACATATGGACCCCAAACCAGTCTTCTGGTTAATAATTGTAATCATTTGCTCAAGTGAGTTTTTGTCAGAATAAAAATGAAGAAAGTGAGCAACAGTCAAGAATTGTGTTTATTCTTGTAATGGAGCAAAAGTATCAAAAACCAAGTTTCACGCTTGAAGGGGGAAGTCCCCAGTACATTTTGTCAGTCCCACCCTCCTTTGCCCTAACACTGTCACACAATAGGGCTTTGGAGTTGACGTCACGCCGCAATACATTGTGGGAGCGCAGCACCATTTTCGCGGTCTACGAATCAAAACAAACACACTGTGTTGGAACGACGACTACAAGAAACATGCTTAAAAACAGCTGAAAAGAAAACGGGCGGTATAGACACCAATTGCGTCCAGAGACGAAGCAGCGGTACTTGCAGAAAATAGCGTGCATTGGAAATGTGGACCCATATGAAATACGGCCGTGGAGTAGAAACCCTGAAGACCAACCACTATTGACGTAGCCTG